ATTTTCTCACTATTTTCCGGGAAAATCCATGTTCATCTTTGCCACCCAAAAACCTAGAATAATATAGCCAACAAAGTTCCTCTTGAGCCTCTTGACCCTATGGACCCACAATTCTACAGAATTTCCCCATTTGGGACTGACCCAGCAGACCCTGATCAGCCCATGACGTCAGAGAATGGTCCGGGCTCTCCCTCCTCAGGGGAGGAGACAAAGGTGGCCACTGCCCCATCACCCAAGAAAAGGTAATTAATTAATTAATTAACAAGGTTTTTTTTTTCTTTCTCTTTTTGGGTTTTTTCTTTTGCAAAAAAAGGAAAAAAAAATTGTATGGTTGTTTATAATTTTGGAAATTAAATTGACCGTTATAATGGTTGGTTCTGTTGGTTTCTGTTTTAGGAGGGGAGTGCAGAAGAGGGTGGTGACAGTACCGATCGGTGACGTGGAGGGATCCAAGAGCAAAGGGGAGGGCCATCCACCGTCCGATTCTTGGGCTTGGAGGAAGTACGGCCAAAAGCCCATCAAAGGGTCTCCATATCCCAGGTATTATTCATCTTTATATTTTTCTCAGTACAATTTTTTATAAAATTCAACAACTATCGTTCATGAGATTTGAATTTAGAATTTTTCGAGACAAAAAAAATATTACAGATGCAGTAATTTTAATCATTTAGTATGTGAATATCATATATTATATGGTTTAAATTCAAGAGATTATATTTTTATAGTATTTTGAAAATCCTAAAAAATCCACTCAATTAAATTTTTTTTTTTGGGTGGAAAATGAAGAAAAATAAAATAATTGATGCATTGAGCTTCATAAATTTCGTGGTGGAATAGGCATGTAATTTTCTTGTATTCGCCGCCGGATGTTGTATTGATTATTTTTTTTATTTTTTTTAATCAATGATGTATTGATTATTTAGTGTCTTTCATTTGCTACACTGCGGCGTATTTTAGTCTATGAAGGCGGCTCTATTAAAATGCGCCTGCTGTCGTAGTAGGGAACACCGTCCACGCTCTCACCACATGTCGTGAAAAGCACGCTCTAGGACCCAGTTCAAAAATGACAGATTCTCTCTCACCCTTTCTCAAGATTTTAAGGTTAACTGAACCACAATATATAATGGGCTTTTCATGAATAGGTCCATTCTACAAGTATCCATATAGAGCCTATTTAGGGAAGACAAAAAAAAAAAACTCAAAACTAGCAAAACTAGCCACTTGTCATTTTCTAATTGGTTCTTAGAAAATTTTAACACACTAAGAACCAATTAAAAAAAGACAAGTTGCTAGTTTTGGATTTTTCTCTTCAAATAGGCTCTATATGGTTATTTGTATAATATGTCATGCAAAAATAAGGTTTTTCCTAAAAACCTAATATATAATTGCCGTGGACTTTCATTTGGCAATAATTTACGGGAATATTGTTATTTGTACCATATTTACTGACCACATTGTTGACCACCTCTCTAATATAAGTGAGTCTCACATACAACAGTATAGTCCACGTTTATTAGAGACGAGGTGGTCAACAAGGTCGTCAATAAATGTGGTACAAATAGTAATATTGAACATTGAGATGTAAAAAGATATTTTATATGAACCAAAAAATAGGAATACGAAGTTTTACTTTTATGCCAAGGGGGTCTAGCCTAGTGGCAAATAGCCTTAATTTGTAGACAAATAGTCTCTGGTTTGAATCCTCATGGCAACATGGTAATGTTTGTGAGAAATCTCCCTCCCTATTCCTAAGCAAAAAGAGAAATGTCGCATGTCTCATTCTATTAAGAAAATATGAAGTTTGAGAAAGAACAATTGGTTTCTGAATATTTTCTAAATTTTAGAAGAATTTTCCCGAGCTATATATAGTTAGTAGATGCATCTTCCGTATAGCTTTTACATGTTTACATGTAAAGCGACCTCATTTTGAGATTTAAAAGTTAATTTAGGATTTAGGATTTAGTAATATCTTGTGCTACCCACTCACATGAGGGTTTGAGACATGCTTAATGAGGCTTCACCTACTTGTAATGATGAACAGATTAAGACCACCTTGCTTACTTGATTTAGCTCATTATACTAGCAACTCAGTTACAAGCCCACTTTACAAGACTTTGGTAAACGGCATTATTTTTAACACGAACGAACATCCTCATTCGAAAATAATGTATGCTTCTTTGTTAATAAAAAATAAGTTTGCTCTCTTTCAAATGTGTTAAATGTGACACAAATTTTTATATAAGATTTTGATTATGATACGACTGCAAATTTTTTATTGATGGCGTTTGTTTTAACTACTTGTTTGTTAATAATTTTATTTAATTCACGTTTGGTACTTTTTGCAGGGGATATTATCGATGTAGTAGCTCCAAGGGTTGCCCGGCAAGGAAACAAGTGGAGAGAAGTCGTGTGGACCCCACAATGCTCTTGATCACCTATGCTTGTGAGCACAACCACCCCAAGCCCACCACCAAGCCACACCAAACCTCCACCACCACGTCACCCAACGCCGAACCCGAACTTCGTGCCAAAACAGTCACACCCAATGAAGAGGAGCTCACAATTTTTGCGAGCCAAGTCGACCTTGACCTTAGTGACGACTCGGCCACGTTGCTTAGTGCCTTCGGTTGGTTCAGTGACGTGGCATCGACAGCTGTTCTAGAAAGTCCGATTTGTGCGGGAAATAGTACTTGCGCTGATTATGACGTGGCAACGAGGTTGGGAGATGAGGAGGACGAGTATTTGTTCGCCGACCTGGGCGAGTTACCGGAGGGTTCAGTGATTTTCCGACACAAGATGGTGGAATCGGACGAGCAGAACCGGAGATGTAGTTTAAGTGTAGTTCCTTGTTGCAATAGTAGATGATAAAAACCGTAGACATTGAGAGTATAGGAACCACATTTTTTAATCACAAAGTGGGTAAGACAGTTGTTAGTTTACACATCAACTGTCGTATCACGTGGTAAAAAAATATGGTAACTCTAATATTTACTCGGTGTTTAATATCATTATTTGTTGATTGAATGGACCCTAAGAAGCTACAAATTTTCTTGTATAAATTATGTTTCATAATTCTTTTTAAATTTTTTTGGTATTGTTTTGTACAAATTTTTCTTGGACAAACGCAAAGAATAAAGAAGAGGAAAAAAAAAAAAAATGGGGACATTATTTTCCCGCTGCCATGTTTATGATTATTAATTCACCTTGTACTTGTAGTAGTTTTGATATTATTGCCGACCAGATCTATAGATAACATTCTTAAAATTTGATTGACATCATATAATAACACGAAAAACCTTGGACATTTGGAGTACGGCCTTTATTATTCTTTTTTCTTTTTTTTTGGTTGAAATAATAAGAAAACATACTAGGGCATCTTCAATACTAATTTCTTCGTCTTCATCCACGCCAATCCATGGATAAGCACACTATAAGAGCATCCACAGTTTTTTTTTGGGGGGGGGGGGGGGTATTTTCGGGGGTGTAAAGCCACTTTTACAT